AAGGATTTTGGATAAGCAGAACTAAGACAGAGTACATGGAGTGTAAATTTAGTAACAGTAACAATGAAAACAGAGGAGAAATGAAGATTAAGAATCAAGAACTGCGTAAGAGTGAACATGTTCGTTATTTAGGGTCAATTATTATAACAGCAGAGGAGATTGATGCGGATGTGGCTTATAGAATTAAGACGGGATTGTGTAAATGGAGAAGTGCATCTGGGGTACTGTGCGATAGACGAATACCCACTAGGCTTAAATGTAAGTTCTATAGAATGGTTATTAGACCAGCGATGTTGTATGGGACGGAGTGTTGGGCAACCAAGAAACAACATGTATATAAGATGAGTGTGCCTGAGATGAGAATGCTAAGGTAGATGTGTGGCAAGACTAGACAAGACAGAATTATGAATGAGTGTATTCGGGAATGGATAAAAGTAGCACCGATAGAAGATAAGTTGACAGAGAATCGATTGAGATGGTTTGGTCATATTCAACGGAGACCAACAGAGGTAGTAGTGAAGAGATGCGATGCTGTAACGGTAGATAGAAGTGTTAGGGAACTGGATAGGCCTAGATTAACATTGGTTAGCTTTGTAAATAAAGATATGGATCTACTTAATTTGACTAACGAAATGACCTTTGATAGGGCCGCGTAAAGAAGAAGGATTCATGTAGTCGACCCCATTTGATGGGATTTAAGGCTTGGTTTGGTTTGGTAAATGGAAGCATAAGTTTTATTTTATGTAAGTGAAACAATTCACCTTTTTTTTTTTTTCAATGTGGAATTGTAAAATAGAAGGTAAATGGAACCTAACCAACGAGAATTTTCTTAGTTGTTTAAAATTAATAATTTTAAAATAAAGGTTTGGAGCTTCTAGAAGGTTTCTTCCTAAAAATCTCCTTTTCCTTATATGATATACTAGCCTATCATCCGTGCTATGCACGGGATAATTATAGATATTTATATTTGTTTTAGATTTTTTTTAATATATAAACTATGTTTTTAAAGATTTTTTATAAAAATAATTTAACAATCCTATCACTAACCATAGTGTATGAGAGAAGTTGAAAAAGGTACTGCAGTAGCTATATACAGATTGTATCTATAATTATTTGTATGAGGGGATTTTAAATGTTGATCAGAGGATTTTGACAAAATCAATAAACACAGGCATGTAGAAAGACATGTGGATTGAAAAAAGTTAATAAATGCTGATAAGGAGATTTTGACCAAATCAATAAATGCTGAGTTTTTTTTTTTTAAATAAAAAATTTAGAAAATTCAGATTGAGATATTGAAACACCCACAAGCCTTGGGTTAAAAACGCCCTTTTGCTTAATATATAGTATAGATAGATAGATAGATAGATATTATAAGATGAGAGGAATAAAGTGCTATCTTATTATAATGGAGGAGATCTTATAAAAAAACATGTAGATATGAATGTCCTCCTATTTTATTGTGTTTACAATTATTTATATATGTGAATTGTGATTTTTAAATGTTTTTGATATTGAAACTCCCACAAGCCTTGGGTTAAAAACCCCCTTTTGCTTAATATATAGTATAGTATAGTATAGATAGATAGATATTATAAGATGAGAGGAATAAAGTGCTATCTTATTATAATGAAGGAGATCTTATAAAAAAACGTGTAGACATGAATGCCCTCCTATTTTATTGTGTTTACAATTATTTATATATGTGAATTGTGATTTTTAAATGTTTTTTTTTAAATGTCTTCTTTTTTTTCTTTTTTATATTATATTAAAGTTTAATATTTTGATAATAATCATATATGTTAGACTTTTCAAGGAATTAAATGTCTTTTTTTTTTATTATATTATATTAAAGTTTAATATTTTGATAATAAGACTTTTCAAGGAATTTTTTTTATGCTTGTTCTTAATGCATTAAAGTGTTGTTATGAGGGATAATAATCATATGTGTTGGGAATTTTCAAGGAATTCATATGTGTTGGAGTTCAAAGAATTTTTTTTATACTTGTTCTTAATGCATTAAAGTGTTAATATGAGGGTAAGATTTGGGAGTTGAGAGAAATTAATAAATGTTAAGATTTATTTTTTTTAAATCAAAAATCAAGAAATTTAGATTGGGAGATTGGAGCTCCCACAAGACTTGGGGTTAAAAACTCCTTTTTGCTTAATATATAGTATAGATAGATTTGGAATAATTTTTCAATGAAAAAAAATTGGTTTAAGTTTTCTAAAAACACTTTTCAGAAAATTCTACTTTCTTATTTTTCATATTTTTTTTGTTTTTACTAATTTTTTTAATATTTTAAACAATTTTTTTAATTTTTAGGCACATTTAACATAAATATACTTAAAAAGTATAATTTTCGTGAAAAAAAATCTTAAAAAAATTCACTAAATATAAAAAATAAAAATAAAAAATATGAAAATTTAATACATTTTTTTTGTATTTTTGTGTATTTATTAATTTTTTAAAATATTTTTTCACAAATATTTTACTTTTTAGACATATCTTAGTGAGATGCATCTAAAAAAGTAAAAAAAATATTTAAAATTTTAAAAATATTTACTAAAAATAAAGAGTATAAAAACAAAAAAAAAATTCAAAAAATTTAATTCAAAAAACTCAAACCAAACATATTGAGGCCAAGTTTGGCATACTTAAAAAAAGACAAAAAGTCAAAAAGTCACTATTCTATTTAAGTCACATCATCTTATTTAAGTCACATCACCTCTCTAACACATCACTTCAAACCCAACCCAAACCCATCTTAGTGAGATGCATCTAAAAAAGTAAAAAAAATATTTAAAAATTTAAAAATATTTACTAAAAATAAAAAGTATAAAAAACAAAAAAAAATTTCAAAAAATTTAATTCAAAAAACTCAAACCAAACATATTGAATAGCATCGCAGACTGTCTTTTTCGCAAAGTTTGTTAGGTCAACTAAAATTGGGCACCGGATTTGACCCCCTTTAAGTTCATTCTCAGTCAGCAACAGAGGATTCGATGTTTAGATCTTTCAAGTTGCAAGACCCGACTACACCATATGATCAGGTTAGAGATTTGGACAGAGAATCCAATCTCTCTTTCTATTTTAAGTTTGAATTTGAATTTAAATTTTTTTTGGGTCCTCCAACTTTGTTGGGTATATACCATGACTTTGTTGTGTATATACCATACCTTTTGCAGAGTTTGGAAACAAACCAAGAAAGTTTTAGGTAACGTTTGGTAGAGTTTTTTAATTATGATTTGAGAATATATAGAGTTGTATTTTGAGTTTATAAGTTTTGAAATTATGATTTGAGTGTAAAAAATTTGTTTGGTGAATGAATTTTGAATATAGTTTTGAAAAGAGTTTTGAATTGAGTGGATAATTTTTGATATGACATATGATATTTGATATAAAAATTTACAACTCATAACTAAAAACACAACTCAAAATTCTATTTAAAACTCATAAAAAAAATTTAAAAAATTTGAATTTTTTTATTTAAAATATTAAAAATAACAGTTGCCAATTATTATAAAAAAAAAAAAATGCCGTTCTGATCAATCGGCAGGACGTCCAATTAGCTCCTATTTTCCTACTTTGGAAAGAGTTTTTAAAAGTGAATGTAAAACTAATTTTTAAAAACTCTAAACAAACAAGAAACAAGGAGTGAAATATGTTTGGAAAAGCCAACTAAACACAGCCTTAATTTTTAAATGGGCAATGATATCATGATGCTAGATATCACGCCATGTCTGCATATTTCGGCAGAACAAAATCAACCATCCAAATGTCGAACATCAAAGACAGAAAACATGTTTAAGGGTGAACAATGTATAACATCCCCGCTTAGAACAATGTTGCCATAGCTTTGTCCTCCTATACTACAGTTTTACTCCAAAATCAATACCGACTACTCTGTTCATCTTTAGCAAACAATATTACCATTAAGGTTATATTTGGTTCATAAATTTAGAGAGGGATTTAGAAAATGAGAAGAAAAAGGAAAAATGAGGTGAAATAAGATTAAAATACACTTACATTTCATCTAGTTTCACATACCTTTTCCCTTTCCACATCTCTTTCCAAAAACCAAACACTGCCTGAGGAAATTAATCTAGAGTGGATATAACTAGGGATGACAATTTGAACCCGGCCTGACGGGGATCCGATCCCCCGACCCTGATTAGGATGATTTTTCCCCGAAAAATACCCCCGTGGGGACGGGGATGGTATTCGAAATTAAATCCCCGACCAGGTTTGGGCCGGGGACGGTGATCAGTGTTTAAGCCCCGGTCTGTCCCCAACCTCGAATTTTTCCAAAGTAAAATTACTATTTTACCCCTCTTTATATGGGTATATAAACCACCCCTTTCACACTCACACAACACTGTGCACCTCTCATCTCTCTCTCTCAAACCCTTCGCCGATCACCCTCCTCCGCCGATTGAGCCACCACAACTCCACCACTGTTTGCGACAGTCCGGCAATGACACCATCACCACTGTTTGAGCACTTTTCCTCTCTCTCTCTCTCTCGATTTGTTATATATATATATGTTAGATCTGATTTTTTTCTTTTTTTTTGTGAGCTCATTAGATCTGTTAATGGTGATGAACAGATCTGTTGATCTGAATTTTTTTTTTTTTATTTACATTTGAACAAATCCGTTGTATCTAATTTATTTACATTTTTTTTTATTTACATTTGAGCAAATCTATTAATGGTGATGAACAGATCTCTCTCTCCCTCTTCGTTGTTATTGTTGATGATGAACAAATCTGTTGTATCTAATTTTTTTTTTTGGCCGGGGATTTTTTGGGGTCGGGGAAACCCGATCCCCGTTAGGGGGCGAAGGCAGGGGCGGATATAGGTTCCCCATCGGGGATCGGGGCCGGGGATGGGTGAATTTCCACTATCGGGGATTGGAGACGGAGAGGATGATCCCCGCCCCCGCCCGCCCCGTTGCCATTCGTAGATATAACAATGTACAACAACACTTGGAAGGTAATAGCACCTAGAGTAAATGAGGTCTCCCATTCTCATTCAGTAAGAAAGATACTGCAGAATCAATTGACACTTTTAACTACAGTACAAACAGAGCAATCTTCTACAATAATAAATTACATTTTAGCTTAAGTCATCCCTACCACTCCGCTCCATCACTGATGAACAACCGTCATCCTGAGCAAGCAAACCGAGCATGTTTAGACCACCAATCAACATTTAGATCTCTGCAGCTGTTATGGCAATAGATGTCAGTTAAAACAAAGCAGGCAAATATGAAGTATTTCCTCTTCAGTCAGCCAACATCAACATCCATCATTAGAAGCACTTTAATATCTTCATTAAATTCTGGAAGCCTTTTTCAGCTGCGAAATGGTTGTTGGTTTTCAAAGGGCAACTCGATGAGTGTTGCGTTGCCATAAAATTCCTCCAAGTTATAGAAAGCTCGCTGTTGTGGGAGAAAAATGTGGACAACTACATCACCTGGAATCAAACCAAAGATCAATAAATATCTGTTTGTGTTATTGACACAAGGAACTTTTCCATATTAAAATTCATAATTGACGTGATGTGATTAATCAAGATGTTTCATAACCATAAGTACCAAAGTCCAACAAGGTCCACGAGTTAGGTTTTGAGTCCCCAGATGCAACTCTTCCATATTGTTTCTCAGCTAGATCTTTTATCTTGGTCCTACATAACAAAATACGATCAGTCTTGTTGAAAGTACTGACGTAAGTATGATAGTATGATTAACCCATCCGGTCCAATTTTAACATATATGATAAAGTTGGAATAGCAGTTCATACCCGATAGCATCAATCTGAGGGCGAGAAAATGCAGTAGCAATGATAAAAAAACGAGTCCAATATACAAGAGGCTTCACAAAGAGGACCCTAATATCTCCAGCCTTCACCTCACTTGCAACCTTAGCCACCGCAACAGCAACTAGACAAATGACACAAAACCATCAATAGCACAGTAGTAGACATAAGGGACAGAAAGGATAAGAAAGAAATAACAAGCAAAGTAACACATTGTTCACAAACCAAACTGAAAATACATCACAGGAACAGGGATCTTAAAAAACATAACAGACCAGACTGACAAGAAGTTAATGAGATGTTATGATTTTTGAATATTGCATATGACTTGTGGAAAAACCAGAATTTGAGACCGAACATCAATGTAGATTCATCTGTTCTTATCTTTCAGCACTGTGCTTAAAAAAGCAAACACTGACTACACAAAGTACAATTGTCCTGTATATATCAATCTCCAACATAAAAGATAACATCATAGTCAACCTCAAAGCATCTGCATTTTGTTTGCATATAGCAGAAAGAAAGAAAATGTATTCTTTCTTTTCTTCCTTTTTTCTTTTCTTTTTTTTTTTTTAAATTTTAAATTTTAAAATTTGATTGCTTCGGGTCGAATAGAAACAACCGAATACATAATTGGGGAAACCCCATACCTCCTAACCGTACCAATAAACTATCCCCAAGCTCAAAAAGGGCAGATTTCAGTTCTATCAGAACTACGATAGACCTCACCAACCATTGGGTTTTCAGTAGACCATCAAACTTAAATTGGCGAAGGCAAATTTTACCAATTTTGTGTCTGAAATACTTGCTTTCAGCAGTTGCTCATTCGCATTTGAAAGCTCTTGACACTTTGACTATATGTCCCAAAAAACAAGATAACGAACACCATATGGTTGTAAAAAAGAAAGTAATGCAGTATCAAGAGATATTAATGATAAAAGATAAAGAGCATAACAATAGTGGAAGCACTATCATCTCTAGATATCAGCCAAAAATATAACAGGAAGCCCAAACCATGAGATGAAAAGAGATCGTTGTGCATGTTCACAACAATTGAAGTTATCATCCACTTGATAGTGAGATGAGCTTACAGGACAAGCTTTCAGCATCATCGTCAACCTCTGCACTAGGAGGCTTTTGGTCGTTTCTTTTGAAGACCACCTTCCCATATTTCTTAAACAGGTCATCAAACATATCATCAGTATCCTCACTAACATTCTGCAAAAAATATCGCTCATGTCAAAACACGTATCCCGTGACCACAAGCGCTACTTCACAATAGAAGTAAAGATGGACATAATTTCAATTAAATGATCAAACAAATACAAAGGGCAAGAAACATATATAACTATAGATGGGAATCAATGTCAATAAGAAAAAGAAAAAAAGGGCCAGTTCCACAAAATCATTCATTTGAACAACGAATAGTTTCAAAAAATGCAGACATCAACCCTTCAAAAACATAATCATTGGTTCTTCATCCAACCAACAGTAGAACGTTAGAACAGTAACTACAAATCTGGGTCTTAAATATACAAGGGAAACCTTTTTTTTTTTCCTTTATATTTTTCCAAACCAAGTATTCAATATAATGTCTAGTCGATGTAGCAACTCACATACATAATTGTGATAACTATAAAGACAAAGGTAATGTCATCCATTTTAGCATAAATGTTCAGTTGACAGTATTTAGACCAACAAGCACTCAAAATCAACAAAAAATGTATAAATGAATAGACTAATTTAAATCAACAGAAGGGTTGCAAAGAAATGTGAACTCATAGTTCATACCGAGCCAAGAGCCATCCGAGAAGACATGAAAGAGCCTGAAAGTTTTCTGGGTTTTACGGACAAGTTGAATTCTCCACGACCCAGAAGCTGGAGGTCGCCGGAAGTCCGGGGGATTCCGACATGGATTCCGGCGAAAGAAATACAGGGGAGGGAGTGAGAGATGAGGGCAGAGCACGCTTCCATGGCTTTTCCTCAAGGGTTCTGCTTATTGGAACATTTGCCCAAAACCAAAATCGCAAAAAGATTGAAAGAGGAAATGGGAATAGGAATTTTAATTTTTTTTTTTTCGTTGGAATAATTACATTTTATCACGTGATTTCACGCGTTTTTACATTATTTTATTAATATTGATAAATGTACTCATAAATTTTCTATAATTTTTTTTATTAATATTGATAAATATACTCATAAATTCTCAATAATTTTGATTGAAGTGCAAAAGTTATGGGACGTGACAGAATTATTAAAAAGACTAGAATATTTTTTAATGTGCTTGGTTTTAGTTTTTTGAATTCAAAAAAATTGAGTTTTTGATTTTTCGTATTTTTTTTTGTTTTTAGTAAATATTTTTAACATTTTAAGCATTTTTTTTTACTTTTTTAAATACACCTTACTTAGATGTATCTAAAAAGTAAAATATTTGTGAAAAATATTTTAAAAAATTAATAAATACAACAAAACATGAAAAATATATTGAATCTTTTTTTTTATATATATTTTTGGTATTTAGTAAATTTTTTAAAGATTTTTTTCAACAAAATTATACTTTTTAAGTGTATTTATATTAGGTGTGTCTAAATTTTTTTTAAAAAAATCAGTAAAAACAAAAAAAAAAATGAAAAATAAGAAAATATAATTTTTTGAAAAGTATTTTTAAAAAACTCAAACCAAACAAAGTGTTTATTTTTTTCTTCAATTTTCTTATGAATGTCATTTTACTTCTATTTTTCTCACAGTTGAACTCTCTCTCTATGAACTCCCTTTATATGTGTGTGTGTGTATATATATATATATGAAATGCATCAAACCCACAACCTACAATACACTAGCGAATGACCCGTGCCTACAGCACTCCAAGTTATAAATAAATAAATAAACCACATTCAAGTTAATACACTTTTGACCAATGAAAAATAAAAGTTAAGACAAGCTAATGTAGAGATTCCATACTGGTAAAAATTCACCACATTGTAGTTATGATCCATTCAATCCATTAATGATTCTTCATAGTCAAGATTAAACTCCGTATCATAGTGTATACGAAACTTTCAATATGCACATATAAACAATTACAATTATTTTTAATTCCCTTATCCTTTTACTTTGTAATTACAATATGAAATCAGGAGAAATTAACTTAACACATATAGTTCATGAATTAATTTGAAACCAAAAAATAAATAATCAAGCATTCTATATGTATAGCCTCAAGTGTAGTCCCACTTTAAACTTGGTTCAACATCTCCATATACATTTTAGATCTGATTACTTCTTATTGCCAATAGCACACCACCATAAATTCATGATGCTTGAAAAAGATCAAAAGATCTATTTGCAAATCCAATTGCTATTACAAAGGGAATTACAGTCTCACAAACTAATATCTTTCAAATGGAACCAGTTGATCTTTTCATGTTAAATAAATTCATTCTATCCATTACATTATACGCATACATATGTGTAAACATTTATAGTATTTAAAGAAGGAATGACAGTAAAAAAAAAGGCTTTTACTTTAGATACGTGTCGTCTACCAGTTGTGCAATCCATGTCACCCACTTGTATATTCCGTCACCTAACTGTCTATAATTCAAGTGATGAAAATGAACTACAGAAGAAAAAAAAATTAGAGAAAATTTTAAAGAGGAGTGGAGAGTGGTACTTTAAGAAGAGCAATTTGATAAGGAAGTAGTGGTTACATACTGGCAAAGAAGAAAGACTGAGTGGGTGCAGTGGCTATTTGGCATGTCAACATCGTTAATTCCTCTGTATCAAATTGTAAACATCAACTCAACTTCGACTTCGGTGGATGATGTTACATGAGAGAGAGAGAGAGAGAGAGAGAACTTAGCCATTCAAAAAGCATCCAAATGGTTGTCATAGCATTCAAAACATGTTCTGAAATCTTCTTGTTACTCCATAATGGCACATTAGCAACTACAAATTAAAAACTGAATTGATATTTGAACTAAACTTCCAATGTCATCGCCTAGATGTTAACAAAGAAAATTTTGGAAGAAGAAATGATAAAGTTCACAAATTACAATTTAACGATTAACTAAATATTAAAAACTCAAATTCCATAATTTAGGAAAGAGGGCAAAACTCCCAATTTTGCCAAATCCACTTGGAAAAAAATAATAGTTCAAATATTATTTTGTGTTGAAGTTAAAAAAAAAATGTAATTAACATAATCGGGCTTTTATCAAAAATGTGATCTAGTCAAAAACCCACAAATGAAACCAAATCAGTAGTAGAAAATGTTAGAAAAATTTATGATGAAATTCAGTCAATGGTGGCAAGTACTCCAAAACCATATGGATAGAGGGTAAATTTCAGTCATCATCACAACATCTCACACCTTCAATTCAACACAAATTGAATCCACCCAACCAAACCAGTATAAAAATTAAAAATTAAAAAGCACATTAAGATTTAGCTGAGAGAAGGAGGAAGTGAATCAACAATTGTTAACAACTCTATTGAAGCTCTATTCAAAATCACTTAATAACAAAGGTTACATGCAAAAACAAAATTAAATGTCCCAAATAAGCAATACTCAACAAAACAACCCCATCCACAAAACTTTTTAATTCAAACTTCCCAATTTTATTTGATTATTCGAGTAAAAATGATAAAATTTATGATGAAATCATGAAACTGTCCTATTTATACTCAAAAGGCAGTATATATTCATTTTACTATTATTACCCAATACTATTAACTTAACTGAATTGAATCAATTTGACAAAGATATGAGCTATTGCACATTGTTTTTCTATGCATTTTGTTAGTTTTTTTGGACCAAGAATCAAATAATCTAATTCAAGCAATCAATTAAAACCACACACATATGCAGATGCCAAACTAATAATAAAAAATTTAAGCTAAAGATGCACTGTTTTATGTCAATATCAATAACCTACCAATCAATAATACGAAGAACAAAAAGAGGTTAGATTCCACAATGAACATAATTAAATCATTACACTATGAAAAAAAATAGAATTTGGAAATCAAATTGACAGCAGGCTAACAAATAGAGGGCTTCTCTGTTAAACTAACTAATAATGATGAAATTCTAAACAACCAGTTAGAGGATTCTGTGTAAATAAGAAGACTTTTGTTAATAAGGTTAATCAAAGATTGAACATGATGATATTACAAATCCAAATACTTAAGTTATGAAATTCAAAACCAATTAACTGGAAAAAAATTCAAATATTAATCATTAACACAAAGAAGCCATGAATTTGAAATCTTAGTAAATAAAACTCCAGCTCAACTTCTATAAGTATAAAACAAATAAAGTCATGAATTTACCTTTTACATTTATAACTCATGCCTCAACTTGAAATTGTTTACATTGGTAAAGTTTCGAATTTCATGGAAATTGAATATATTTGTACCAATTAAAAAAAAATCAAAATTTTATTTAGATATAACTGAGATAGGGGGTGGAAGTGAGTGGGAATCATTCCATTATGAATCTTCATCCTAAAACAAAATCCAAACACACGGGGGCTCAACTGGTGGTATATGATGAGATTACAAATGCACATTAAATATTGGAGGGAAAAAAAAAGAGTAAGAAAGGTTCAAATGAAAACCTTTTTGTACAATAATGCAATAACAACATACTAAAAATCCCAAAATCCCATACTAATATACCAATAAAAGCACGAAATAACAACCTATTCACATGAAAACCATATTTTAAGGTTCGTTTGGGAAGTGAGTTAGCTTTTTGGCTTTTTGACTTTTTTTGCTATTTTAGCTTGATGCTAAAAAGCCTCATTTGGGAAGCGCTTTTGGCTTTTTTGACTTTTTTATGAGAGGAAGAATGTAATGATTATGGGTTGGATGTGATGTTTTGTCTTATTGGGTTAAAAAATCTTTTTTTGTGTGTGTGTGTGTTTAAAATAACCAAAAAAGCCCCAAACTTGACTTCCCAAACGAAACCTAAAAATCTAAGTTTGGGTGCTTACCACGAAAAAGTTATTGAACCCATTAAATAAAAATCTTGAGAGAGAGAGAGAGAGAGAAAGAGAGAGAGAGAGTCACCACAAATCAACTATGCAGAGCATGTGTTGGTCTTCAAAATCAAAGAATCATGGAAGTCCGAAATTATTGAAATCAACTTCCAAACTGCCCATAATAGCTATTGACATTAGTGGATAAAAGAAAATAATTAATTATCAAGAAAAATAAAAACCAATATAATGGCTCATAACTCTATATAAGCAAAGGAAACTAGACCAAAGTCAATTGAATTTATAAGTGAAAACAAAGCACTACCACAACAAATTATAAAACAGAAACCCCAATGGATTTTAATTGCCTTGAAAAATTAGACTTTCATTTGGGTTTAAAGTTCTATGTATGGTGGAGAGGATCACCACTTATATTTGAACAAACTTACATGTGCTCAAATCATTAGAATGTTATTGTTACAACTAGAAATTGGAAGTTATACCTTACCTTTTGAAGAATTTATGGATAGGCACAGAAAGATATTTGAATTGTTTTCTAAGGGATGACCAACAAAAGGAAACACTAAAATGCTTTAGTAAGAATGCAAATCAAATACTTACCACAATGTTCAGATGTGAAAGGTTGTTAAGAAGTTTCATTTCTTCCTCAAGCTCTCTAATGCGAACCTATTAAGCAAATTTAAAGCAATGATTCAGATATATAGGACCACAAACACAATGCTTCATATAAATGTAAATAAAGCAATTAAATTGGAAGTGATTTTCTACTTTGAAGCACTTTTACTGTAATTGAAACATTCTTAGATATATACCAATACCAAAAACAATTGAAAAACTAACACAAAATAAATAAATATATCCAAAAGAATCACCATAAACAAAATATATCTTTTAGATATGAAAGAGCACCAAATCCAAATCAGTAAGAGCACTTCTCAAAATAATAATAATAATTGAGAGGGTAATTTATATGTAAATTGGGCCGAGCTGGGTGATGGGCCATTCTGTGGGCCATAGTAAAAAGGGTTGAGTAAAAGAGCTTTGTAGTTAGCTCGGTCCAGAAAG